TGAAGTCAGCTGACCATTTTGAATTGTCCATAATTGTTGTATGGTTGGTTTTGCTGACTTACTTTATAAGGCACAAACGAGCACAAACGCAGCACAAACGATTGCAATTAAACCCGTCGTTTGTGCTTTAATTTCGTGCGTGAAGTCATCTGACCATTTTGAATTGTCCATAATTTTTGTATGGTTGGTTTTGCTGACTTTTGTTATAAGGCACAAACGAGCACAAACGAAGCACAAACGATTGCAATTAAACCCGTCGTTTGTGCTTTAATTTCGTGCGTGAAGTCAGCTGACCATTTTGAATTGTCCATAATTTTTGAATGGTTGGTTTTGCTGACTTACTTTATACGGCACAAACGAGCACAAACGAAGCACAAACGATTAAACTTAAATCCGTTGTTTGTGCTTTTCATGGCCAGCTCACTTCACGGACCGTATTCTAATTAAAAGTCTCTACCTCTTCTACCAACCATATCCCTCCTCCTCGAAATCTTATCGTAATCGGGCGGGTATATTCCCTTATAGCTCAACAACGGATTGTCCGCAGAAGCTGGGATTATTTACCTACTGCATTATTACAGTATTGCATTGAATAGTTTTTATGCAATTATTACACGCGTGATAGAACAATGGGTTTTTGTATTATATTATGTTTGTCTTGAAGGACGGCCTTAAAATTTTATCAAAATTGATGTACACTGGGTGTTCAGATACTTGACGGCAGCTGCTACCTACTACCTGCGATCAATTGAATGCAATGCAGAAACCAACGACCCCGACCGGGACCTCTACAACTTGACTAAGAGGTTCGAGGGGGCGGAGAATATTAAGCGACTAGTGATAAAACAAGATTGGCCCGGAGTTCATGTTTGAAACTTGATATTTACTTTTATTACACCTCAAACTGTCACGAAAAATTCATGCCATACTGTAGCAAATCGCCCAAATTTTCCGAAAATTCTTACATTTTTGGAAAAATATTATAGGTACATAATTGGCCCATGCCACTGATGGTATGGCGTATCGAAATTTCTATTTCTGACTATAAAAATAACTGGTGGAAAAATGTATAGGGTGTAGCAAATCCCTCAAATGATTAACAAAAATGACATCTTTGTGCCGGTATGGCGGCTATGCGGGCCCGTCGCTGCGGTATGGCAGGTTGAATTTCGTGAATGACTGATTGAGTACTTGATGCTCATAAAAAAATGAGCTTGTAGCAAATCACCCAAAAAAAGAAAAAACAATCGACACGTTCAAATGAGTATGGCGGGCTATAAGGCCCACCGGAAAAGTATGGCGTTTCGTTTCCGTAATTTGTTTTGTCACCGACTACCACAAAATCCAAAGAATTTTGTGTAGCAAATTGTCCAAAATCATTAAATTTTCCGACATGTTTAAACAATCGTCACGCAATAACGGCCCCACTCCCAGAGAGTTAGCACCATTTTCGTTTTGAGGAGTACTTAATTAAACCTTTGAATGGTCGCCATACTTGTAGCAAATCACACCACAAAAAGTGTCACCATCTCCCGGTCTATGTACCTATACTCGCATTTCATGATATGAAATAAAAAATAGACCAAACAGAATATATCTCTCTTAAGTTCATATTACCTACATTACAACAGAGCATTATCGTCAATGGGTTCTTATGCCAGACGTTTTATTATTTTATTTATTTATTATCTCTCTCTTGTTCTGGGCCCTCAACAGGTTTCCGCCCAATTACAGAGTGACCCGCATAATGCTTTTTAGAGGTGTCTCTGCAGAAGGTCTAATTCTCATCTCTGCCACAGATGAAAAATTCACCTCAACCCAGGTTGGAACACCCGACCTCCGGATTTATAGCCCAACTCTCTACCACTGAACCTCCATTGTAAGCTAAATGCCTAGTTAACGTTTTCTTGGAACGTGCTTAAGTCGTCCACAAACAAATGCCCACTAAAAGGGATTAAATTTCTTTGGGATGCGCTAAATGAGTCAGTACCTTACATACCTAGTTTCTACGACTGGCCTGCAGAGAGTGGAAATGAACCACCACTGAAATTTTGCGTCTTATTCAGTTTCATCAATAAATTTATTTGTTATTTAAAATCTCATCTTTTTAAATTTTTATGTCTTTTTTGCGAAATTTTTGTCGTAATTGCATTTTTTATTTTGCATTTTCGCTGATTTTTAACGTCATTAACATTCTAGCACTATTTATAAGTATGTGCTGTATTTAGTTTCTTGCACCATTAATAAATTATTAACACGTTTCTCTTCTGCAATTAAAAAAAACTATATTCTAATTGATTTTCGAGAAACGAATACTTTAAAATGAAGCAAAAAAATTGGCCGGTAACCTATGCAATTACACCTGGTCCGTAAGTACCCAGTCCGCCCCTGCGCAAAGGGCACTGTGCATGCTGATCGATTAGGCTCAATTTTTGAAATTGTGTTTTATATTGTTAAAGCTATGCGCATATTGAATTTCATGCAATTCGGTTCATAACTAACGGAGGTGTCAAAAGGGCCTACTTTATTTTTTGGTCTACATACCAATTCACGAACTCCGATCTACAAATTTGATAAAGAATCCACCTGCAAAATTTCATCGTAATCGGTCCATTCGTTTATGACTTATCGTGCTAACGGACGGACGGACAGACGGTCAGACACCGCAAAATTATAAACTCGCTAGGAGTTCGTTAATAACTGTTTTACGAGTATAATGACATGATAGTCAATTTAGAAATAGAATATTGGATTTAGATAATACAGAGGCTGATGTAATCCTGCAAAATTTTCGCTAGTTCTTCGATTCGTAGATATCCTTCATGAGGTTGCAATGAATTATAATTATAGGTCTATAATCTAATTCATTTATTTAATTATAAAGGTTTAAAAATGAAATGGTTAGTACTTTAGTAGGTAGTACAAAAAGTTGCTCACGAGCATGAAATGGAATACGCCGCAGCCCGGAATTATTAAAATAAATGCACTGTTGAACGAAATGTTTTTACCAAACTATTTACAGCTTTATTTACAAATTTTTGCTAAGGTGCGCTAAGAACTTATACCATTTTCAAATTTTTGAGATCTAAGTGCATATAGTAGAATTCGGTGCTACATCCTAGATACTCATATAGGATGTAGCAAAGACACAACTATTCTTTCCAATTTTTTGAAAATTCCTAACCGAAGACGGCGCATGCCTAAACGAGGGTGCAAAGAAAATTGCGATAATTTTTGACATTCCCTATTCAATTTCGTACAAGGTCAATTTATTATTTTTAGAGAAAATAGGTATTTTTACTTATTTGGGAAGATAAAGCACTTGGTAATACAATTAATTACAACGAAATTAATCGCGGTAAACGTCAGCAACCGAGAAAGCGGAATATGAATTGAATACAAATGCTAAAAACCCAGTTCTATAAATTACAGATATCAAATTACAGCGATCGTCCTCGGTATATTATTATCTCGACAGTTGCGCCTTATCTGTTTATTTTTACGTTCGAATATGGTAGGTAGCGGAATCTTGTGGTGGATAGCGACACTATTCTAATATTGCGGGCGGTGCGGGGAGTGATTTCCAAATTCTTCAATGTAAACACCACCAAAAATACCATAAACAAATAAACAAATTAGTTAAGACCAAATTAAATAATAAAATGCAGCACGAGTTCCTTTGATTTCTTTAGAGTTCCCTTGATTTCCTCGGAGTTTCTGTGATTTCCTTGGAATTCCTCCTGAATACCTACACATGGAATTCCTTGGAATTCTTAGCTTTCCTAGGAGTTCCTCCGGAATTCCTATGATTTCCCATAGATTTCCTCAAACGTGTACACTGATTTCCCATCGCGGTTTACCCCTCGATGTGACTACTGAGCCCTACACCACGACAAAGTGTACTCCATGGTAGAGCACCACTTACGGTAGTTATAGTTCATCACGAAATATTTTAAACTATTTACGCTGGGGTGATGTTTTTATAATTGTCAGGACTGTGACGTCACAGACGCCGCCATGACACAGAACAGCGTTTTGGCGCTAGAATAAAAATATACAATTAAATTGCATAAATTTGCAATAATATGATTTATTTTGCTGAAATATCATATTTTAAAGTTATAGTAGAGGTATACGAACAGTTATAACTGGTTTTAAAAAATTTGTCATCTACCCTATTGACCATTAGGGTCCGATTGCTCTTCTGGGGCAGGTATTCGCTTACTCGCCTCGCCCAGAATTCAAGACGGAATATAGAATATTACTATGTATTACATTAATTGACCTTATTTCTTATTCCATATTTGTAAAAAACGTGGAGGTTGAGAGTCAAGTGGGCCCTCGAGATTTGAGTGCAGGAACTACCATGTACCGGAAGACTATTTTCGAATATTTGACCGGCACAATCCAATATGCATCGAGCACAACTCGTTACAGTAGTGTTGGAATTTGTACGTTAAAAAAACCGGGGGGTTGAGAGTCAAATTGGGACCCGAGATTTAAACGCAGGAACTACCGTGTACCGTAAAACTATTGTCGAATATTTGAACGGCACAATCCAATATGCAGTGAGCACAATTGATTGACCTTATTTAGAATTCCATATTCGTAAAAAACGTGGGGGCTGAGAGTCAAGTTGGCGCCCGAGATTTGAGTGCAGGAACTACCGTATACCGGAAGACTATTTTCAAATATTTGGCCGGCACAATCCAATATGCATCGAGCACAACTCGTTAAAGTAGTAATGAAATTTGTACATTAAAAAAACCGGGGGGCTGGGAGTCAAATTGGCCCCCGCATTTCAATTAAAAAAAATAGATTTGCCAGATCAGCACAAATTAAAATCGAATCAGCACAATTTAGCACAACCCTAGCACTATATAAAAATGGTCATTACACATTTTTTTTTTAATTGCGGGGGCTAACTTGATGGAGCTTTTTGTTTAGCTTAAGTGAACCGCTTATATGTAACACCGCTCGAACGTGTATTTATTGAACCTGCCTCGTATGTACCCAAATAACAATTAGGTACAACTCAACAGGAACTATATTATAAAAACTTTTTGATTTTTGAGCTCGACTTCCAACACTGTGCAATTTGACAATTCAGAACAATTTACTAAATTCTTAATCACCAACTCTTTTTTAACTGCTATCACACAACCCCCACTAGCCCTACCAAAATTAAAAGTCAGCAAGTTCATTTATGACTGCTCTGCGATGAACTCTCTTCCATTGTCACATTGGAGAATGTAAGGAGCAACTATTATACAAAAAATGTCTAATAGATTGTAAGGTACCCCCGTAACCCTTTTACATTTCAAAGGTGGTGAATTGGTTACGAAGTTGTGAGCTGTACCTACCAATGGCTGTACTGAAAAACTATGTTTATAGGTCTACCTAATGGAAGTATTGCTTCAATGTGTAAAACTAAAAATGTACCTACGTTCCACTCCTCTTGCGATTGTGCATTTCAGGGCACAAATGGAACTCTTGTAGTAAAGTTTCTTAACTTTTAAGCTCATTTGTTATTACCCTAATCTTATCGTGTGAAGATGATTGGCATTCTTGAAACTGTGTGCTAATGACATGGCTTTCTTACTCCCCCACTTAATCATCGTCTGTATGAATTATTATAAATAGCTGGTAGAAGTTGTAAAGTATGTTAAATATCGTCAAAATTACCTCATCCTTATTCCCAATAGCGATATTTTGATTGTCCTCACATGCGTGATTATACGCGTAGGAGGCATAGTGGACAATCAACAAATTGATGGTAGGTAAATTTGTATTGTTACTCGATTGTTACATAAGTAAGAACAAAGTAGGGAGATATAAAAAAGTTTGCGAAACAATTTCTCTGCCGTTCTTAGAGAAGAATGACAACTCGTTTCCCAAATGCGAAGGCCGCGTAGATTGATATAGCTTCTTGCAGGTACTTGAACATCACACTTTCAACTTACTGTGACCAGGAATATCGACCAGGAAAATGGCAAACCGCAACTCGCTTATAGTCCTCGTCTTACTATTTTCTACTGTGGCGAATGCTACAGATACGAATTACGCGAAAATAATAAGCTATGAAAATTCGAACCACGACCCCAACAACTACCACTTCAAGTAAGTACAGATTCTTTTATTTTACTTCGAACTTAACTGATCGTTTTAAAGATACGAAACAAGTGACGGTACTGCTCGAGAAGAGTCCGGGTATGTTGTAACAGTAAATGGCAAGAATATTCTGACGGTACGCGGTAAATACTCCTATACTGGAACGGACAATGTTCAGTATGTCGTTATGTATGTCGCCGACGAGAAAGGTTACAGAATTGAAAAGATGGATCGGGTACCTGCACCTCCAGTAATGCTTCACTCACCAATTGCACCAGTTTTGAGTATAAGCAGTAATGCTATAAAAAGCTTGCAGGGAGGTCTTGGTTAAAGCTGTGGTTTAATTCTGCTGTTAGCAAAACGTGTTTATGGTAACACAACTAACAGAATATAAAAAAAACAGAAAAAAAAAAACGCCGGAGTAAATGATAAATGAGGTTCTAACAAAATTGTTTTATATTTTCATTCTTTCTTGGAATAAAAGCTTTACTTTGCAATAGTTGCCTTTTATTAACAGATGCCTAAGCAGTCGAATATAATATATGGCCTTGGTAAAATTGACATCATACGAGGGCGTTTTTTTTAAGGTCGGTATATATAAACAAATTGTCTCGTATAGTCAAATAACTGCAGCGAGTGCAGTAGGTAAGTTGGGACTTTGACGTATTTTGTACGGATCCAGAACATTAGACAGCTTTGAAAGAATTTTTTGCTACGAAAACTGAATGAACTTCACTTAGAGCATCGTGTGATTATGAAAGTTCCTCAGAAAAAGGAAAATAGTGCGAAAGTTGTCTACGAAAGAATGACCCAGGTGTACCGTACAACTTATTTGTTGTTGTTGTTGGAGATTGGGTGACAAGAACTGAGAAAACCAAGGGACGTGTTGAACATAATTTGTTGTCTAATCGAACAATGAAGATCCCAGTGGTTGCAAAAAAGCTGGAGTGCGTGAGAGTACCTATACCTACAATATTCAAGATTAAACACCAAAAAAGGACATGAAAAAAGTAGTGTCTGCTCCATGGATTACCCAATGCTTCATGCCGAAGAAGAAACTGGCGAAGAAAGAAATTTGGACACTTTGGCGAACGATGGCAGTTATGTTTCGCAAATTGTCACAGACCACCGAAAGTAAGTGAGGAATAAATGCAAAAAAGGATTTTCTATTTCCACCCTCAAGGTAACTTTTGGAAAAAGGTAATCAAGTCTTCGTACGCTGGAGGGTATAGACCCCCTCGTATACATTTTTTCACAAGGGCGCCCATAACCTTCAAGGCCCTCATACTACACCTTTTCCACTTTTATTCGAGAAACTATCAAGTTAATTTGAGAAAGTATCAATATTGTATTTGAGAATAGTAGAATGTATTTGAGAAAACAACAAATGTAGTTCAGAATAGTGATTTGTATTTGAGAAGGTATCAAATAAATTTGAGAGTAGTAATAAATTGTATCCAAGAAATGGTAAAATGCATTTGAGAATCAATTGAAAATGAGAAAAACAAAATCACATGTATAACATAGCCTGATGCTGTTGCGGGACTACATACAGTAGCGGAATTAGAAAAATTTGATTTTTATTATAATTCATTAGGAATAATATTACATTCTGAAATACAATAAAATTAAATGATACTTTCTCAAATACAATTGACTGTTCTCAAATACATTTGATGTTTTCTCAAATCCAACTGACTATCCTCATCTACTTTGACGTTTTCTCAAATACGAGTAACAATTCTCAAATACAATTTACAACTTCTCGAATAAAAGTGGAAAAGGTGTAGTATTATGGAATGTCCAAATTCTTTTATGTTTATTATTGATACAGATACAAATATTAAATATAACAAAAGACTACGTCTATAGATCAAAATAATTTTATGGGAAATTAAAACATTTACTTCAACACTTCCCCTCAAACTCTAAACGTCGGCGCTATTGCTAGTAGCCTAGATCCTTCACTCAACGCTAGTAGTGCAATTTCGCTAAAAAGACTGTTTAGCCATACAATGCCTTTAGCTGCTTCACTGATGCCTCTGTCACTGTGGTAGATAGAGAAACAACACTCTTCTACTTCCTGCTCGCCCACACGATAGCACCTCCACAAAATTTGAAAAACACGCCGCTGGCAGACCGTCTCGTATGAGGGTGGCTTGCAAAATCCGCGTCGCTGTACGACTCCAATTCCTTAAATCGAGTGTCAACACCTTTGTATTGGATCCCCATCATCCCTTTGTATGCCAATTACATACAAGTTTATTATTCGTTCCCTGCGACATATACTGATTTTACTGTTGAAATAATAAATAACAAACTTAGTTGATTTGCAGCTACCGCTATGACTTCTGCATCAAAGGAGTTCAATGGCACCCTGTATAAATAAAAAATTCAGTCAAGATTAAAAAAATTAGAATAAATATCAAAGTGTGCAGGGTAAATTTTCGAAAAACTTAATTATATAAAATTAATTAGCATACAAAATCCTAAATTAATATCACAAGTGAGCGGGTAGGTGCATTTTTATATAATCTCTGAACACATTATTGCTGTAAAACACCACATTATGCAAAAAGAGTTAATAAATTGTATCCTGGAAGTATGCAACGCCAAAAAACAGTTTCCGGGAGTGTATCCCATAATTAGGTAAACAAAACGTAGGTACTTCCCTATATTAGTGGCTAGTGGATTTTTTAAATTTTACTTTCACTGCTGTCTCCTGTTAATCAATTTACCTACTTGAAACAAAGCAGAATAGTTTGGTCGATTGAATTCCAGTCAATGCCAATGTTGGCCGTTTAACGACAGTTTTGCCAGAAACACTCGAACAGATCAATTTTAGTTTTGAGAGGCACATCTAAACTAAAGTAATATTATTGACATAACTTCAACCCTGAGAAGGGGGTGAATTGCACCCCAACACTTTTAAATGAGAAGGGGTGGTAAACGTTATAGTTCGAAAGGAATGTTCATTCTGGTTCAGCACTGTTTTTATTTTTGAAATCCGATCACGCGTTTAGGGCGTTGTGCGCGGGTGCACCATCCTGTAGAAACCAACAGTTTCCAGATTTTGGTTTATTTGTGTGCAGTACATCGTTGCATTCGTATTAAAATTAGCACCATTGCGCCAGGTCATTTCCTAAGAGTACCTACCATAATAATAATAATAATAATAATAATAATGCCACACCAGTGCTTACATACTCTTTTGGGATTATACGTTGGACAAATACAGATTTAGAACAAATACAGAGAAACACACGTACACTATTAACAAAACACCATATACATCACCCTCACTCCTCTACTATACGACTTTACCTTCATCGTTCGGAAGGAGGTAGAGGACTTACAGACATAAAACTATTGCACCAAACACAAATACACAATTTACGACAATACTTTTATAACAAATCAGATACTTCAGTTTTACACAAAACAGTAACATATGCAGATAAATCTTACACACCACTTAATCTACACGAAACTAATATACTCCCACCCACATCCAAACTTACATACATCACAAATAACATACAAATATGGAACCAAAAGCCTTTACATGGACGATTTCCACAAGAGGTTAGCCAGGGTTGTGTTGATTCTATAGCAACGCACAGTTGGTTGTCTGAATGTGATATCTTCCCGGAGACTGAGGGTTTCATGTTAGCAATACAAGACCAGGTTATTAACACACGTAACTATAAAAAACACATACATAAAGACAAAACAGTGACAAATGATTCTTGCCGACTCTGTTCACAAACATCAGAAACAATCCAACATATAATATCGGCATGCACACGACTCGCACAAACTGAATACAAACATCGACATGATCAGGTAGCTAAAATCATACATTAAAAATTAGCACTTAAACACAATCTCATAACAGATACGACACCATACTACAAATACACGCCACAGATCATACTTGAAAACAACACACACAAATTATATTGGGACAGGACACTACTCACAGACAAAACTAGCCACAATAATAGACCAGATATTACACTTATAGATAAAACGCAAAAATCCATTTGTATTATAGACATTGCCATACCCAACACTAACAACTTAACTAAAACACATGCAGAAAAACACCGCAAATACACCGATATAGCTATCGAGCTTAAGACGCAATGGAGAATGAAATCTACTGTTATACCTAGTTCCCATTATTCTTAGTGCTACCGGAGTTATACCAAAGACAATACACCACAATTTACAACTATTAGGTTTAGACAAAAACACATACAAACATTTACAAAAAGCAGTCATTATCAACACATGCCATATTGTTCGTAAATTTCTAAACATAACACAAGATACTACATACACAAATGATCCACAACGTATACATGTAAACAACAGTACTCGCTCACAACACGGTACACAACATACTTTAATATCTCAACCTCTAACCCAAACAAACACACAAATACAACTTACCGAGCAAACAAGTACAACAAATGATACAATATATACTACAATCAGAGATTCACCTCTGAAGCAAACCACATTATCACGACCCATTAGTATTCAACCCAAACGCAAAAGCCTAAACAGCACTTTAGACTCACAACATGACACACAACATACTGTAATATCTCCACCCTTAACTCAACCAACCACACAAACACAACTTCCTGAACAAACAAACGCAATAAATACAAGTAACGCAACATGCACTACAAAGACGCCCTCACTCAATAAAGTTACACGGCCTAGCACAGCTAACAAACACAATACTCTTTCTTCTCAGAAACACACCACGTTATCACAACCCACTCGTACTCAACCCAAACGCAACAACCTTAACAGCACTACTAGCTCACAAAATACTGTAATATCTCCACGAATAACCCAAGCAACCACACAAATACAACCTCAAGAACAAAGAAACACAATAAATACAAGTAACGCAACATGCACTACAAAAACAGGTCCACCCAATAAAATTACACGTCTTAGCACACTTAAAAAACACAATACTCCTTTTTCTCAGAAACAACTCACTCGTATTCAACCGAAACGCAACAACCTTAAAAGCACTACAGGCTCACAAAATACTGTAATGTCTCCACCAATAACCCAAGCAACAACACAGATACAACCTCAAGAACAAAGAAACACCATAAATACAAGTAACGCAACATGCACTACAAAGACAGGTCCATCCAATAAAGTTACACGCCCTAGCACAGTTAAAAAACACAATACTCGTTCTTCTCAGAAACAACCCACTCGTATACAACCGAAGCGCAAAAACCTTAACAGCACCACAGGCTCACAAAGTACTGCAATATCTCCACCAAAAACCCAAGCAACCTCACAAATACGACCTCAGGAACAAATAAACATAAATACAATTAAAAAACACAAAACTCCTTCTTCACAGAAACACACCACGTTATCACAACCCACTCGTATTCAACCCAAACGCAAAGCCAAAGAAACACTTACACGATAAACTCCATTTAATAAAATT